CTCTAAAGGAAGTCATTTGCAGTTCCAACTATGCTTTGCAGGATTTCGCGGGTCTTTCTTCAAAACTCAAAACAATGTAGGGTACCGCAACCAGGACTGAAAAAAAATTGCCAGGTCCACAGCTTTTTCTCGGTGTTTTAGATTGCTGTGTTCTTACCACTCCCATTTGGTCATAGACTCATAGACTCAACAGTGCTGGTTGACGAGTGCTCGTTGCATGATTTGCTGAGCTCCGTCGCATCCTGCGGTGGACAGAGGACAGATGTGGATGTCGCATCCTTCTTTCGTCCCAATACGCCTCGGTTCGCTTCCATGCGCTGGTGTTGGTACTCATGTTCTTATGGTTGTGGCAGATGCTGTCCACTCCAAACGGTCATGAGCCAAGTGCAACCCTCAGCTTTGTCACACCGGAAGGCCAGAGGTCTACGGTCGACACGGTTCCTCACTGCGGTCTAGGCATGGAGGAACAGCAAGGACGACGCGGATGCCGCCTTTTGCCGCTTGCGCCATGATTCGGACTTTTCGGACCGTGAAGCGGAGCGATCGGACGCTACTAGGAGCAAAGGGCATTGCTACTAGTAACAAGTGCCTTAGTAGTAGTAACAAGAAGCTAGTAGAAACAATATATAAATTAGAATCTATTTAGAATTGGATTCAATCTCAAGAAGTGTTGGTCCGTTGATCACCTATGTCCTTCACTATATCCTTCACTTGTTTATATACTGTAGATAGTGTCACAACATGTCACAACATCAATGTAATTGTCATAGTCTTAGCTGCCCATGAAAGGAATTTACAGTACCCCCCCAAAGACTATTGAACATTGAACATGGACTTCATATAGACTTGCTTCCAGTCGTAGCAGCCTAGTAATTATGTGTTTTTTCCTGCTGAAAGTGAACACGTCTGAGACTTAGTGCATCACATGTGTTTTCAGGTCAGTGGTTTCCCTGAGCAACTGAAACATTTTGAAACCTCTTTGACGCGACGCTGCTCCGCGGCGCACACGCGACGTCGATCGCACCGGTGGCGTGCGCACCGGTCGTTGACTCCGCTGGCCGTTCAGGCCGCGGAACTGCAGAGGTCCCGGGCGTTTACTCCTGGGAGGCGAGATCCAACTCGAGCGGGGTGGCGGGGAATGGCCGAACACGGAGCAGCCACACTCGGAAGCGAAAACGGAAGAACTGAGAGGAGAAGGACTTGAACAGGATTCCACCTCAGCGTTCTAGGGTGGATGTTCTTGTTGAGGGACTTACCAGGTATAGGGTTCCACAGCTGCTAGATCCACCCAGTCAGGAGTCATGACCATTCCAGTGTTTTCAGTGTGGTCATGATATAATGACCGTTATAAAATGTAATCTATAGGGTGTAGCCCATTACCAGTAACAGTTATATAGATACAGTTGGCAAAAGATTATCACCATTTTGAGAAAGGCTTTTACTCCATCATCATCCATTGTTACTGCTAATGGGATATACACAAATGTATGTCCTGCGGTTTTTGGGACTACATAGTGGGGACCCAGTTGTTGGCACATTGGGTTCAACTACCTCACATCCGTTCTCCAAATCCGAGCTCTGCTCTCACTTCCCCGACCCCACTCCTCGCTCCTCTCCTCAAAACCACGAGCCTCGCTGTCCAGGTCGAGGACTTCATGTCAGTGGATCGGCCCTACACCTTGGCCGTGGACATCGCCGGAGCCCAGTGACCGTGGACGTGAGCGGCTCGGAGCCGCGGGTTACAGACGAGTCACGGGTGACGGTGTGAGAGGGCCCAATGGTGACTCCGAGTCCAACGTGGGACCAGCATTTCAGATATTTAAGCAACGTAATAGTAATAGTATAGAAAATGGAAAAAAAGCAAACACATCAAGAATAACAGGACATAAGTCAGGACATGTGAATTCAATTCCAGAAACTTGGCTGCCAGGAAGTTGGTTCCAAACTTCCACCACCGCGTTCTCAACTTGATCTAGCATCAACATCTATACAGGACCCACTAGGAGCAAGGACGCTACTAGGGGCTCCTTTTATCGCTACTAGGGGCATTCTTACTACTAGTAACAAGAAGCTGCGAACGGGGCTCCTGGCCATATACAACTGGAAGACCGTGAAGGTTCCGATTTTGCAACCATTCCCCGTGTCAAACACGGTTCCCGATCCCCCACGGCCCCACGGCAAGGCTCCCAGGACCAATACTTGGGTTGTAAAGAAAAACCAGTGATGACATTCAAAACCCAGTAGCTTGAATATGAGGGCCCCGGGGGTTGAGGTGATTGGTACATTTTCCAACCCACGGGTTCGATGGATCCGCTGGATGTGGTTCGATGAATCCCATGGGGTTCGGTGACCTGAAGCATCCTGAAACACAGCGTTCAACTGCTTCGCATCGCTAAGCAGTTGCAGGTACGGTGGAGGCTGTAGCTCTGCATCGGGACAGACCTGGGGCACACAGGCCGGGTGGGCTGACGGAAAATGTGAGAACCCGGAGCCGTGCGGTTCGAGCGATGGGTGGTAGGGGAGTGCTGGATAAGGGATCCAACATGATCCAACAACAGGCACCGGATTCGCCAGCATTTGTTGGAAAAAGAGGCTTCTTGTGTGTCGTTGCGGAATGCTTGTACCAGCTCCCCTCACTGGGCCTTCGTTTCAATTTGCACCGGGCCTTATATAGTTTCATTCAGTGACCACTTTGCAAACCGATGCAAACCCACAGAATCCCACAGACGTATTATTTGGGTTCGCCACTTTTTCCACAGCTACCCGGTCCAGGATGAGAGCTTGCAGGGTGCCCCAAGGAGACTGCGGCGGACCGAGCGCTTCGAGCCAGCGCTGGCCATGCCGCTTCTCGAAGTCTCTTTTTTGGTGCCTCTCCGAAAGGGTGCCTTCTCCCCATCAGCCTTGCCGTGGTGCTTTCCGCGACCGCACGGTGGACCCACGTCCGACCCGAGTCGCCGGAACGCCATCTGCCGCAAATGACGACCGTCGTCCCAGGCCTAGGAGCAGGTCGGGCATCGCTACGAACGGAGCAAGAACGCTACTACTAGGGGCTCCTGGCCGTACTAGGAGCAAGGACGCTATGACTGCTTGTCCCAGGCCGGTCTTTTTTCCGGAGACCTTGGCCTTGGGCTTCCACTCGCCACCTGGACAGCAGGGGTAGGACCATCATGTAGGACCGGTGGGGCTGGGTGCAGGAAGCATTGGTGAGCCATTTGGGTCGGAAGAGCCTAGCGGCTGGAAGTCTTTGTGCATGACATCCTCAGACTGCTACATTGTTTAAGATCCCAAGTTGCTGAAGTGCCAGTCAAAACGGCAATGACGAGCTTCAAAGGTATGGCAGGATGATGCGTTGGAGCCGTGGCTCCCGCCCGACAGACAGCAGACCCGCTGCAGTAAATGATGGCCCGGCTATGCCTGCGACTGATGCAACCAGATCAAGAAACACTTGTGATTGTGATTCTTGTGTTCAATTTTCGCCCTTCTAGGTGTGATCAGCTCGCGGCTTTTTGTGTTTTCGAAGAAGAGGAGCAACCAAAGAATTTCTGTTTCGAAGTAGGGATGCATGAACTCATATTAAATATCACACAGATATCGTTTACCAGTGCCAGCCATATGGCCAGTTCAACCAAAGCTTGGGTGAGGCTTACCCCCTCTTCCATGGGGAACGTCGGACTCGGTAGACAACTACCCGCCCAGTCGCCATCGATTCCTGGCGATCCGCTGATCCGAGGACAGGACGGTCCATCGGCACCGGAACGCCGCTCGGATGCTGAATGCCAAGTGAAAACGCCTTCGGAGAGAACATGAGAGAACACATTGAAAACAAAAACAACATGATGGGAGTTTCTAACTAGCCGTCATTGTTTAAGAGTCTAATGGGCCACGACCTTTGCTGTGGAAGGCACCGGCAAATTTGTGCTGGAAGAGCATGGAGGTTCCCCAGACCGATTTGACGTAACTCTGGGGGGGTTGGGGGTCTGATTTCACCATGTTTCCTTCGGATGCAGATTTGCTACCAGTTTTGTTGACCGGGTGTTGAGTCCATTCTCAGACCTATATCCATTTGTTGTTAATTCCAAGGTGCACACCATTCCCCTTGAAGCCTCGCAAATTGGGACCTGAACAGGTCCAGCGCTCATCGTGTTTGCATGATTTGATGGGTTTGCCAAAAAGGATGGAAACCATGCGCCGTTTGAAAGCCGGCCAAGCACGGAAACATATTGGACACCCATATTATTATAAAGGGACCAATCGATTGGTGACATGTGGTGACCCAGAATCTGCGTGTTTTTGAATGTCACGATTTGGTGCCAAAAAACCCGCTGTTTTGGTGCCAAGGACTGCGCTCCTTTTCCTTGGTGTGCGTGCGGAGGGCCCGCGAGAAAATGGGTGTCCAATTTGGGTCATAGCTAAGATCCCAATTGTTGGAAAAAAGGCAGCCGTGTTAAGATCCCAATCACAAAATGCGAAAAGAGATGTCATCTCTACTCTCTACTTGTGGATCTTCTTTAGTTGTTTCGATTGTTATGCCTGTAAGTTATAGCCAGTTTTCTTTAATGGGTTTTCCTTGCCAACCTTCAATGCTGCAACACTCAGCAGTAATTACTCAGCCCCCGTGGATTCAGATATGAATTGACCGCTGTTTGGCACATGTCGCTGAGTTCACATGTGATTCACTGGCAAAACTGCAGGTGATCCACGCTCGATGTCACAGACATACTTTGTGGTGATTCATTGCGTTGTGAACTGTGTGGTGCAAACACGTAGACTCTACGTAGACCTTTTGAGACGTGGTGGTAGACTCAACAGAAGCGGAGCAGCACCCGAGAGTTTACATCTCCGTTTCGGCGTTTCGGCTGACCTACTCGGGGCATGCCAGAAGTTTCAGTTGGAGAGGAAGGTTGGAGACTGGGTTGTGTAAGTAGCTGACTACTTTACAATGCGCCAGGACTTCTAGCATCACGGTTATGATTTTCCCCCCTAGTAGCGTAGCTAGTGGTTTGATTTGTGTCCTTTGCGCTTAGATGGACGCCTGAGACCTGCAAGAGACAGAGAGATACACTGATGACACTGCAAGAGATCTTAGCAATGAGGGCATCATTCATTGAGAAATGTCGAAGAAGCCCCATTCCCGGAGCATCAGGCAATTGGATGCCGGCAGTTTGGCAGCTTTGGCTCGGGCACTAGGGCTCCTCACTGTTCGGAAACCATCTCCAAATGCGAGAGCTCAGTCAGACAAACGTTTCGACGAGATAAGTGTAGCAGCTGGATGCGTACGGGAGATGAAGCTGGAGCATATGACCAACATCTCCTTTGCCTTAGGGCATCACAAGGAGGCCACGGTGCTTTTGGCTGAAGCTGAGTTCAATCCAAGTGCCTTGGTGGATCTTGCGTGGGCTTTTGCAAAAGCCTGGCCTTGCTCAAACACTGAATATGGGGCTTCTCGCGGCACTGCAAGTGGCAAAGGACCCAACCTAAGGACTTCTGAGCTTCAAGTTCTTCAAGTAAAAATTGTTAAAGCTCTTGTCAAACATAACCTACAAAGGAGCCTTTCCACATACCAAGTTTCGAACCTGCTGTGGGCACTCGCCAAGACAAAAGTGCGCACAGGCGCTTCTTTGGAAGGCTGGGAAGACATTGATGAGGTGGATGATGAACATTTTGGAGCGAAAGTGATGCACAGAGTGCATGGCACTGCGAACACTGTGGCAGACACAATTCTGCCTTTGAGGTGTGCAGAACAAATCCTGGCCGATCTCGCATGCAAGTCTTTGGCACATAAATCGCTGCATGATCTTTGCAGGATTGGCTGGACAATGGCCACCCTTCGTTGGACACACAGCCCTCTCCTCCAAGAGATATGCCTCATCAGCAGTCGAAGAATTGCTCAATGTGAACGGATTTCACCCCGACATTTAGCGCTTTTGGCCTGGTCATTTACCAAACTGCATGTGGAAAATCACAGCCCCTTTCTGCACATGTCACTTCTGAAGTCCTTGGAGCTCCTTTCGGAGTGCACTGGACAAGACTTGGCCAACTTGCTTTGGGCCTTTGGGTCGACGCCGAGCGTTCGACCGCATCGAGACGTGGTGTCGACGGCGGTGTCGGTGCTGGCCGGTAGAGCAGTGTCCGACCCGAGACTTTCAGCTCAAGGATTGGCAAATGTACTTTGGTCATGTGCAGGTTTGGGCGTCGGAGACCTGAATTTCAAAGGAATGGTGGATGCTACTATAGCTGCAAGGGCTCAGGAGCTGCAGTTGCGGGATCTATCAAACCTTGCATGGTCTTTTGCAATGCTCGCGTGGCACCCGTGTGATGCGAGAGCAACTGGCAATGTCATGCTCCACCGTGCAGGCCAGATACTTCAAGACTTATTGAACGCCCCTACAATCGACGGTCGACGCTTGCAGAATGAAGCCACTGCAATTTTGAGTCTTGTTTGGGCTGAGACCTTCAGTGGAAGAGACGTCCGTTTCACTGAGTTCGGCCATTTGGCGGCTGCAAGCTTGCAACGAGTAGGTCTGGCACTTGATCAGAGAGGAGGCTTCCAGCCCGTGCTCCCTGTCCGGCCTGTGGAAGAGGCTATGACCGTCCGGTGCGATCCACAGATCTTGTTCGATTTGCCGGACCGGATGGTATTGATGAAACCATCTGGCTGGGAGGTGGATCAGGCGCCCTCCCCCCGCGGACCGACGCCCAGTCGGCCGACTCGGAGGAAGCTGTCCCTTTTCGCCTCGAGGCAATTCCCAGCACGACGCTTCCCGATCTTTGAAGACGCTTCTCATCAGCATGGCTTCTTGCACCGACTGGACTTGCCTAGCTCTGGCTTGATTGCCATGGCGAAGAGCTACCAGGCATTCTACGACTTGATGCTGCAGTTGCATACAGGTACCATGCAGAGAGATTACATTGTGCTGTGTCATGGATGGTTTTCTCCAGCATGTCAACGGATCGAAGGCAATATCTTGTGGTTTGGCTCAAGTGATTTGCCCAGCGCAACCATCAATCAATCCGACTTGGCTGGAAGACCGGCAGTGACTTGGACGCGAGTGCAGGCACATTTGTGGAGGGCAGAGCAGAAATTCAGCCTGGTCGCACTCCGGATTTCCACCGGACGACGCCATCAGATTCGATCGCACATGGCACACATGGGACATCCAGTGGTGTGTGATGCGAAGTATGGTGGCTGTTCAGAAGAGCTTTGGCGTCGAGAGAGGCAATATGTTGAAGACAAGCAGTGGTGCCCTCGCAATTTCTTGCATCGTTACAGGCTCCAGTTTCAATTATCTTCAGGAAGGCCTTTTCAAGCACAAGCTCCACTGCCAAGCGACTTGAAGTTTGCCTTGGCGGAGTTGTCGCCCAGGACTAGCTGTAGCGTTTCTGATTTGCAGTTGAAGGCCTGGCTTTCGAGTGAGCCAAGTGAGCTAATGGATTGGGCCGACTTGCCCACTCTCCCCAATGATTGCGTGGAGGAAGAGAGCAAGAGCTCAAGAGCACTAGGGTAGACTCTACCCCCATATGAAGGATTGTTCAATCCAAATGGATCCAAATGGGGGGTGTTTATTGATGAAGAGTCTACAATACAATTACAATGTTCAGTTGTGCTTTTCAGGGAGGATTTGACTGCAGTATGTTTTTCGTGTGCTGTCCTCACGGTGTCGAAGTTTGATGGGACAAATCACCATGACCGAAATGATGTCGGGACCTGGCTGATCCAATGAATGGGATTGGCACCCAAAGCCCAATGTACTGATATCTTCGCAACCAAACACCACTTGCGAAGACCAAGCCAAGAGTTTCAAGGCCAAGCAACTTGGGCTGGTTTTCTTTGCCCGATGAGGATTTGACACCTAAAGGGCACCACATCTCGCCACAACAATTGGAGATTTGGATGGTGTTTTGGGATGTTTTGGGTAGAAGCGTGACATAGTAGACGCGTCCCAGCATTCATGGCCTCCAACCTAAGAGCGATGGCCTCCAACCTAATAGAACACCCGTGTCCCAATCTTCGGATCGTTGTCAGGTCGCTACTTTAGTGGCCAAAGCGGATCACACGGAAAGGACCTTGCGGGGTGTGTGGACTCAGGGCGTTTAATTTTGCATGCGCAATTCGAGGCGCTTCTTTTCGGCCATCCCGGAAAAGCATCGCCTTTGCTTTTCTTGTTTTTCATCACTTATGTTTGTTTTGTATTTGTTTGTGCTGTTGAAGCTACTGGTTGGTGGAAGCATGTGGATGCCTCTCCAATTGATCATGAACACTTTTCCACCAACATGCAGAAGCCACGCCAGGTCCGCAAAACATGGCAATTCTTTAAGCCGAGATAATCTTGAAAACGGATGTGTATATACTTATATAATATATATATATATACCTGGATCGTTTCCGGAGGCGTTTTATAGCCACTTGGGACAGATCTTGTCAAATACTTGCTGATAGCATTCTTTTGTGCAAACTGGATCCTAATACAACACTAAGCAACGGGATTTTGTGTCATTCCTTTGGGTCGGTGAGACAGGTCATCACTTGAAATGATATCCACACCTTCAGACTCTGAGGTTGCAGCGGCCCCTCTTTGTGAGCGGCAATACCTGTGGAAGCTTGAAACATGCGAGGTCCGGCGGCAGAAGAGTGGGAGCTGAAGTTCTGAAGGGAAGATGTCCAGGAATTCCGTATGCATCCGGATCAAAACCAGAGTTGTTCTCAAAGGAAGGTCCAAAATGTCCAGTGTTACAAGATCCTTCACACCGCCAGTTCTTTGGTTCCATTTGGCTCAGCGCACGCACGCTTTGATTGACCTGCGTCCGAGAGCTTCCAGCAGCGGCGCGGCTGCGGGCCAATGTCCAGAGCGAGGCTTGGCATTTGCTGGTAGGAGCGGATTGGCAGACCTCAGCTGGTATGGTGGTTGGAGACCATTGTTTTTTCATGTTTTTTTCCATTTGTCCCATGTTTCCATCCCGAATCCCAATTGATTGGTGATGCTTGAATATTCTTGGGGTGGTTTGAATTAGCCATTATGACCCGAATCGTGCATGCCCAAAAATATTCCTAGCGCATCCGATTATTTTCAGGCCCTTAGGGGTGATGGCAATGCCTAGCATTCAGGTGAGCTCAAGTTTTGTGTTCTGCAGGAGTCTAGCTGTGGTTGATGTAAAACAAGCGGATGGTGGGGGTCATGGGCAATGTATGAAACGACCAGACCTGGAGTGTAGCATAGAAGGCCGAAGAAGAAAGATACAAAAGACACCACCGGGACTAGACACAGCAGCGGGCATTGATCCGCAAGTGTCATTCTAGCTTGTAGTCGTTGCCCCAAGGCTACTAGACAAAAATTAAATGACCATTGGCATTGGTGTGTCCATGTCAATCCCACTCACTGGGCCGCACTGTGATCATTGGCACTGTGATGCTGTCGTCCTCGGATCCATCGATCAGTCGACAGCACCCCCAGGATGGGGCGCCGGAAGCTGCTCGTGACCGTGGTGATCTTCGTGATGGCAGCTCGATGGATCCGCAGAGGATCCGCGGAGGCGATGAGGATCCGCTTCTCCGGATGATCCGCAGGGCCCGAGCAGGGAGGGGTCCCTTCTTCTTTTTGCAGAAGTTTTTGTGCGAAACAGGCGATTTCAAAAAACAAGACTTTCCTGCAGAGTGAAGGATTGTTTTGAACAGAGCTAAAGGGTCTCTCTTAAAGCTGCAGATAGGGGGGGTTCTTGAAGCAATCGTGAGAGGCCGGGGCGGCCCAGTGTTTTCAGAAGTTCGATGGCGCTGGCACTCCAAGATGTCCGGGTCCATTTTTCAACCACCGACCTTGGCGGCCCTTGTGCCATCGAACCTCTGAAACCACTCTATACATGGGGGTTGTTTTGTTTGAGATTGGAACTCCTTGACCCGGTGAGCAGGGGGGATTCCTTGTGATACAAGTCAGTCACCGACGATCTGGAAGGACATCGCTGAAGCGATGTCCATGATTCACAAACACCGGTCACCAATCCTTTTGTTTTACCGGAATGCGGAATGCGTGTAATTAGTGAAGTTAGAAGAGATTCCAAATTATAGTCTATATTTTAAAATATTATATACTGTAGATAGTAGTGTTGCGTGTCTAGATTCTAGATCAACACAAACCTGGCCAAACGAATTTGCACCGTTGTCAAATGTGCATCTTTTGGCTCCAGGAAAGTTTTAAATCATGATGTGGATGTTGACCAGATCTATTTGTCGAACTCCAGGCATTTGGATCCAGATCGGATGAAATGCCCAACTCCTCCATGTCCTCCGAGGTCGGCTGCCCAAGCTTAGCGTGGATGGCACGACCTGGCTTCCGCAGCTTCACGGGGCAAAAAAGCAGCGAGGCGTCCGGAAAATCTACGTGGACATGTGCAAGACACTTGTTACAATCTGGAGGTGGAAAGCAAGAACATGTGTTTCCTGGGATCAGGCTTGGGTTTTCTTCTCGGCTTGGTGCCTCGCACCCGCCAGTTACTGTACCTTTTCAAAGCCACCGTGAAACTTTTGACAGTACAAGCAGCGAGAAGTGTCATTTTGAGTCAAGTGGCAGCAGGAAAACATATCAAAGCAGTGGACTAACCATACGGAATGGCCACCCTTGCAGGTAGTGAGATGGAGACAGCTTCAAGTTCCGCAGGCGACGCAGGCCCCATTGGATTTCCCACCGTCGGAGTTGGCAGAGTTGCCTAAAATGATCAGAATAGGGGATGTGTATATTAGTAATCGATGTATACACCTACATATTAATCATAATATGATTAATATATTGCATGTGCTACCCCCTCCCCTAGATGTAATAATCAAGCATCGATTTTGTTGTACATGCAGCAGACCAATTTTTGGTTGAGTAAGCAGTGCCCAGACACAGACACAGAGTTTCCAGCCTTTTGTCGCACAGGCTCGCGGGATCATATGGACAAGACTAGAAACTGCTTATTATAATAGCAGCTCCATGTGACATGCGTATAAGCAATTGCCTTTTCAAACAAACAGTCTTTAGTTTGATGGTCAAAGGGTTGTGTTGTTGTAGACGGGTGAGTCTAAGTTAATTGCAATGATCGGAAGCTTTCGTTGCTGTTGCTGCGCTTTGAATGAATTGCATGAGTTCAGAATCAATTATTGGACGAACGTTGCTGAAGCAAAGTGAGCATTGTGATGGAAGACAATATACTATGGGCAGCACAAAATGCAAAAAAAGTGAAGCCTGCTATAATTACAAATTTTGAGTGTTTCAGGGAGACAAGGTGCTGTTTAAGAACTTTTCTATTTGGTGGAGGGTCCAATTTAGGACGTTGGCTCCTATTGATTAGACTAAGTCTCCTAAAATCCTGTGACAAATGGGTTCATATTGGGATGCTTTGCTTTTGTGTGCTGATGCACGTGCGAAGAACTTTGTTCAACAGATCCTATTCTGATCTAAATCTAAGGGTGGTAGAGCCCCTCTCATTTTGAAGTGTATCAACTTTGTTCGCCCTTCACATTTAATGTATTGCCAGGCTTGATTTTCTTACGCATTGCTATTCCTTCATGGAATTGGTTGTGTGAGAGGAAGTAGTATACAATAATGTTTGTATGTTTATATTTTTCAGTTGCTTGTGGCCGTTATTGGATGTTTTTGAGCCTAGATTAAATCATTGTTAATCAACAACACGTATCATATGAGGTAAACAGGGATAGTTCTTCACTATGATGAGGTGCCTTGTGTGTGGCAAGGCTTATGGTAGAGCAAGGTTTTAACTAAAACTATTATCTATATAATGATGATATAAGGCACCCAATTGGCCCAATTTTGTGCTGGCGCGGTTCCATAAGGGGCGAGCTGTCGCTTGTACACTTGAAATTTGGGTCGCTTGTGCACTTGAAATTATGGTCGCTTGTACACTTGACATTTGACCACTGTCCGAACATGTCGTCACGAAACGCTTTAGGTTGGTCGGTCTTACACTGAGCATACATTGAAAACCGATGAGGGAAACCCAAGACCGAGGTCTTCCATTGAGCATACATTGAAAACCAATGAGGGAAACCCAAGACTGATGCCTCTGTATCATACATCGGATAAGTACTACTACTACTACTACCACCAATCGTACGGCCACTACTAGTAGTGCATGCCACTACTACTACTGCCACTACTGCTACTACTACTACTACGACGCTTACTACGGAATAGAATCCTGTAGAATATCGACAACCGAGTTTGTACGTGTGTTCTCTGTGACTTTTCCAAATTTTTGGAGTGATGAACATTCAAGGAACACTTGCGTTTGTGGTGCAGTTTTGGTTTGGATGACTCTGCCAGAACAGAGTCACCTAGCATTGGCGCCAAAGACACTGAGAGACATCTTGTTGTTATGTCAAAACACCTTCCAGTCCTGGTTGTACACATTCACTACACAATCAACACACCCACGCTGAAACATTTTGCATGATCCCCAACCCACTCATTATAGTTTGCGCGCGCAAGTGAGTTTGTATGGCAGAAGTATGCTTTGAAAGGCAATCAAAACGTGAGTGCGTGCGTGTGCGTGTGTGTGTGTGTGTGTAAAGATGTTGACCTTGTCCAACTTGGCAATCTTTTCAGCAGTTCAGAGTCCCTTTGTATGGTTGGCAACTGCAACCCCCCCCCACCCCACCCCCCCCCACCCACTAGTTGCATGTGGAGTAGGCACCACCCGTTGCTAGGAAGCAGGTAAGTGCGCAAGTGACCTAAATTTTTGATGCCAAGTGCGCAAGTGACTCAAAGTGCGTGACTGCCCGGCCTCCATAAGGGGCGTAAGGATCCTATTCAGATCTAAGCGCTCGTTTTGACTCGAGTATGACAGTGCTCAGACACATCCACAGAATTGCCAGAGTTCTGTCTCACAGGCACACGAGGTCATATTACAGAATCAACAGACTTTGCTGCAAATACCATTGAAATGTGCATAGACCTGGATTGCTGCGTTTGCTATCAAAGCAGAGTAAACCATTTGTCAATTTGGTGCTGCTGTAGGGTGTGTAAATCTTGGGGGGTCAATGCTTTGCCCTGTTGCAGACTGGTTGTTCGTTTGAGCAACCCTCCCATGCCACTCATTGCCCTAGAGATAGGCAATCAAAGACGAACCAAACTTCCCAGCTGTGACAAGTGCGGAGTTTTCCACAGAACTGTTCATATGTTGGTTGCATGTGAGCCACCTAGACATATGTATGGCAAGTCTTAGATGCCTATTTGTGACAATCTATAGGGTACAGGCTTGTACGTTGACATTACCAATGCATGCAGAGGGGTTCGCATCATTTCCCGGTTGTTGTGGTTTGCCATGGATTTTTCAATACATGTCTCCTGCAAAGGAGCCTCCAACAACAACAAGTGAACAACTAGGGTAGTCTTGTCCAATTTGAAGATTGTGGCAAAGGCCCTTATCTACACGTCTTTGTTTTGACATGTTCCAGGACTAGAGCTGATGGCGCATCGACCGAATTCACGGACAGGCAAAAGCGATGCAACGCTAGTAGATCTACTAGGAGCAAGGGCCTTACTACTAGGAGCAAGAACGCTACTAACTAGGGGCTCCTGGCATCGCTACTAGGAGCAAGGGCCTTACTAGTAACAAGGACGCCTATACAGAAGATCCTCAAAACGTATTTGACGCTCAAAGGATGGGACCGCATCAGGCTGACAACTCGGAGCTGGCGGGCGGCACTGCGCTGGCCACTGAGACGCCGAAGAAGGCCACCGTGATGAGCACCGGAGCTGCTTGGCCTTTTCCGCGCTCAGAGATGGGGATCGGGGATCGGGCAGGGTCATTGCAGATCCTGCGAGACGTGGAACTCAATAAGCATTGTATACATAATATGTTTACACATATATATATATATATGTAGATATTCCGTGTCATTTTGCATGAATGGCTAAGGCCCTGGCCTAGGCGTGTCGGATGCCTACATGTTGGATTTCATGGGAAACTGCACCTCTGAATTGAGCAAAACTATGGAAAACTTTAGACATGTATACATATATATATATATCATGTTGGATCCGATTTGCCAAGACATATCGGGCAACTGTGGATATCGTGGTGAGCATGTCTAAGCTTGAACGTATATTTGCTGAAGCACGAGCAATCATGGTACACTATATATATATATGTGAAGCTCATGAAACGACGAATAAGTTGGGACTTGCGTGGCATTGAGGCGCGCACCAAGTCCCGCAAGCCAAGTCAGTGAAATTTGCTGGCCGCTCCCTCAAGAAAGCAATGGTTCCAACCTACATTGGGTGAGAGGATCACAATCCCTTGGGGTGGAAGCACCTGACAAACAGGCCATTTGAGTGGCAAATGGTTTCTGGATACCGAACACCTAGTTTGTTCTATACCTGAATCCTTTGAACCTTGGAATTTGGCATTCGATGGGAGTAGGGTGCCAGAAATTTGGAAGCCACGATAGAAGCACATTTCAGGTCCAATCAAGGTCAGACACCAGGACCAAGGTAGTTCTTCGAAGCGTGAGTGTATTGAGTTTCTTCAGCCAATATGTTTGCTTGAAAGAAGAACTCGGAAGCACCTCTTCTTGCAGCCGATCTTCGTTTTCCTTCCCTGGTGAAGAAATAAGATGAGGTGGCCTTAGCCAAAGGCATGTTGGGCAGTGGCGCCACTTGGAGAGATCGGGATCCACCGTGGGTCAGGGCCCAGGGCGCTATAGGAGTGCTTTGCGATTCCTTGCCATTAAAAACAGAGTAGATCTCCTCGGTAGAACTTGGTCAACTAATTCTCAGGATCCAGACTAGCGTAGACCCTTGATGAATGAAACTCCCCGGTCGGATGGTAACACCTCTTCTGCCTCTCGCGTACACGAAGGGTCAATTGCCCTCTGCACATGATCGCTTGCGTTCCACAAGTCGATCTGCGAAATCCCCAATGAAAAGAGTGAGATGTGCAGACATCTCCCAAGCAAAAAGCGGATCCAACAACTAATCACACAAGAAATCCTGGACAGCAAAGTCCCAGGCACAAAGATTGGCCTTAGTGACACGTTCAGCCACAGAGACCAAAAATGACAGTTCATTGTGTCCTCGCCAAGGTCGTCCGCCAAGGATGACACCGCACGGCATGGTTTTTCCCCATGCATGATGATCATGAGCATCATGACCACCAGGGAGCATGTGACCCCCATGTTTCTTCTGTAAAAAACGGCACCACTTCTTGAGGGTACTGCTCAAACTGGCAAATGTGAAAAATTCTTCATCAAAAAGATCTAACCTGTGGCGGCGTTGAACAAGCATCACAGCCAGCTCAGTATAGGATACTTTGTGCCCTGGGTCGGTTGACCATTTCAAGCTACAGAGGAAGGCGGCAAAGACTTTCCAGTTGGTGTTCGAACTGGGCCAACCAACCGGCGGAGTCGTGGTGTCCAAACCATATGCCTGCCACGTGTAGTTCTGTTGCTCTTCATGCCATGGAAGAAGAGGGAACCTCTGGACGGGATCTCCTGCTTCATCGTTTTCGCCATCGTCAGATTCAAGCTCTCTAGGTGGTGCAGTTGTACCGATCATCTTGGACAATTGTGTAAGCCACTCTTGCCGTTCTTTGACACATGAGCAAAGCGTTTCATACATCCGCGGTTGGATGGCAGCGTTGCTTAATGCTGCTTTATTTGCAGCAGAGTCAGCGCGACGATTGTGAACAATGTCGGTGACCGTTGTGCCATGCTGCGCCGCTGCATCGGATTTTAGCAAGTACCCGGGCGTGCCCTCGAGAGTGTGTGCTGGTATCCATACACATTCAAGTGGACAAACATGCAGCTGGCGGCGTGCGGTGAAGAGTTTTAGCACGAATTGCCACCAAAATTTCAGCGGCCATTCATCACTGATGTCCTCCTTACCGACAAACTCATTGAGGTGATTGGCAAGGCTCTTGCAATCAGTTCTGATCTGGATAGGACCTGAAGCGGTGGCAAAGGCCCAAATGGCAGCCCACAATTCAGCAGTGTAGCTCGAAAGATTCCAATGCTGAACATAGCCGGAATGAACAACAACACCATGAGAATTCACTATGGCAAACCCTGCACAAGAAAGCATGAAGTGAGTGGGCCACTGCACAGACCCATCAGTCCACAAGGTTTGTTTGGGACGGTGTGGATCCCATGTACCAAGTGGGATATCCGAGGGGTCCGACACTTGCAAGCGATGCCGAAGAACAGAAACAGGATGCTCAACAATACCAAAGTTAGCACCCAGCTCATGAACAGGCGGTGGGGGATTATCATGTCGAATTTGAGTGCATTCTCTGACAAGGTGAGGCAATGATTCTTTGAAATTTGAACACACACACGACATGTGGAATGTTCAACCCTCTTGGCCGCAGCAAGGCGATCATTGGTGAGGACACACCCAACCAGCTGTGCTTCGAAGAAGGCAGAATCCGGAATCTCCCCTTCAGGCTTTGCTGCTTTATGACGCAAAAAGCTAGTTGAGAGCCAAAAGTCAAGGATGCCTGTGGGGCTCCTAATATCCTTACGACTCTGAAGTCCAGCTTTTTCGTAACAAACGTGCCTGGCGAGTTGCTGGAGGACAGGACGCACATCACGATGACCCAGCTGATGCAAGGCGCACAGCGGCTCGCCAGCCAACTCCAACATGCCATCATCGCAGAGGTCTATGTGAAAGAAAGCAAAGGCTTCCCGAATCCGTTGAACAATGGCATGCTTATGATGGCATGACTTAAGGAGGTCATTGAACCTAAGCCTTTCACAGGGAAAAAGCTGGAGGTACCTACAAACATCCAGAATGGAATTATAATGTCTGGCACACATAGGCTCAACTCTGTGCGGCTTGCAAAGAAAAGCAAAAACTAGGAATTTTGCCCGCCAGTGGGGTCTGTTCTTCCACAATGAGGTGACAATTTCACCTTGAATCCGAGCAAGGGCTCTTGCCGGGATCATGTTGATGGCAGCATTGTACGTGCATTGAGGGATCACTTTGGCACCAATAGTTTTTGCTTTCTGAGCGCAAGAGATGGGAAGGCAGGAAATATTACGTACATCGGCAATAATCTTTGCAGTTTTATCGTCCGAGAAATGCATGGCAGTGCGATTGCTCGTTTGGATGTGCACACCGAGGATCTCAATTTCGAGCGCACATTGCATGTCTGGGAACAAACTTTTGACTTCTTTCCTGGCAGAGCTGGAGGAGCCCCACACCACACATTTAGAGGCATTCATGGACTGGCCGACCAACTCATCCCACATCTGGGTAATGCGAATAGCTTGAGCAAGATGGTGTTTGTTAATCAGTTTCGTCCACAAATAGGCATCGTCAACAAAAGCTTGGGCAGTGACACTGGGCAGAACATCCAAGAGGTGGACCCACACCTTCATATGGACATTAATAGCAATAAGTGACAGAGAGCAACCCTGGGCCACACCGTTTGGGCCATGAGTGCATTGGGGTTGAACCCATGCTTTGTAGGAAAGGTGCTTGGACATGTCCTGGTATATTTTCACGAACATGACAACAATTCGCTTGGGGACACCAAAGGCAAGCATAAGTGCAGCAGCATACGAGGGGATAATCCTGTCAAAGCATTTAGCCTTATCGATTTTGACCCCAATCAGGTCACACTTTTCATTGCGATTGTGGTCAAGCGAGAGCGCAAAACGAGTGTGGATGGCAGCCATGTGGCGATTTGGGATGCCACCCTGCAGTTGGTGAGGCATGACAACCATTTGCCAATGTTTGAGATGCACAAAACGCGCGCCAGTGTATGCCAGGAGAATGACAGGCAAAAGCGTAATGAGTCTCTTTTGCAAAGGTTCGGAACTGCCATTTTTGTTTAAAATGATTTGCCTTGCAGTGGACAAAATCTTTGGCAAAGGTTCATCATTTGTTTCAAGCCTACGAAAGAGAGCAGCAAACCACGCAAAACAAGCATCTGGGAGAACCTGCATTTCGGTGGTCCGCCACCCGTCTAAGCCTGGAGCGGCTTCTTTCTTTCTCCTCTTAACTATATTTTTCAGGTCTGCCGCACAGAGCTCAGGAACAGGGTAATCAAGATGAAAATGATGAATGTGGGGCCACACAATTTCCAACATCTTGAGAGCATGAGGGTAACCCAAGTTCGCACTGAAAATGGGGTCCCACTGGCTATTGATCTCATGCATAGCTAAACCCGGGTCGAAAATGGCGTTCCCGAGCGAATCGACAACTAAATTGGCAGGTTCGGTATGGGTCTTGTTTTTGAGATGGCGAAACAAAAAAGCAGACCCCAGCTTCGCAGAATCTTGGATTTTATCCTGCCAAGCCTTAATACGCTGCAATTTGAGTTTGATCTCCTGTGTGGCAATGCGATCTTGGACCCACTGAATGGCGACGGTGACATCCACCAGGTTGGGTCTCCGGGACGGTGGCCAAAGACAGGGTGCTCTAAGCCTCGCCAACCGATTCCAAACACGGACAAAGGTTCGGTGTTGGATCCAAGTATTGGGCTGGGGCACGAGGTTCCGTGAGAGAAACCGCTCAATCTCTCTGAGACCACCTAAAGCATTGTAAAGCCACGAAAGGACCAAAGTGGTAGCAACACCATGAGGCTTTTGACCCGGGCAGACCTTCTTGGGACGAAATCTGACTGGCATGCCTCTGGTTTTGGGGCCTGGCCCCCACGTAGCACCATTCTCAAGAAGGGTGTTGATACAGGCATGATTAGTTTGGTTCCAACACGATTCAATGTCGTCGGCTTCGGTCCATGGTGGGTCCTCACTAGGTGAAGTGTCGCTGCACGTCGAAAGTGCATGAAGTTCAAGGGGGGCAGTCTTGTAGAGGACATACCCACACTGCCACACCTTTTCCCAAGACAAGGTGAGTTTGATGGGTCGGTGTTGAGTCTTGAAGTGGGAAAGAACCTCAGCATGAACAATAGAAGAAGCAGCAACCTTGTTAACAAGAATAGCATCGATACTGCTACAACCATCCCCGAAGCCGGAAAAGGTCCCATTGGCAGAGAACGTCAGTGGTCTGTTGCCGGATTGTGGGTCGAGGTGTGCAATAGGGTCACACCATTGCAGGAAATTGCACGCATGCATGACAGCCTGATATTGGAGGGGCTCCGTTTGGAGGTCACCAGCAATGAACACTGGAATGTCGCCAAACTGGCTAGCAATGCAAAAAACGTCAGAGAGGAGCCCGTTGTTGTTATCGAGAATGTCACGATCTTGGCTGGCGCCAGTTTTGCAATAAACATTGAAGACCAGTGCCTTCAAGGTTGGAGTAACTTGAATCCAAACAGCCTGGACACGTTTGGTGTGGAATAAACTTTGGTATTTCCCTGAGGCATCATCACTACTAGCGAAAGGTGTGCACAATTCAGCAGGTGCTGCAATTGCAACACCTCCGTGGGGGGTTCGGCGGACACCATTGGATGCCAAAAGGCCAGGAAGCAAAGCCCCAGGAAAAAGGGTTTTTCCGCATTGTGCCACAGAATGACGAGCACTGTTAATACAGTTTTTCCCAATTCTAGTTTCTTGCATGCAGGTGATGGCAGACTCCCAAGTCTTCCAACATACAGCGGTCTTGAGGGAACCAATGTTAGCAGAGTAAATGGACCACAGGTGCTTTTCATCAGGTCCTTCCCCCGGATAACCTTTGGTAGCATCAAAA